TAATATTACAATCATCCTTACATGAGAAATATGTGATATAAACTCATCCGAAGAGGCTAAATTTAATTATCAATTATTATTATATTATTGTATATTCAAAAAAAAAGGACTTGAGGTTTAGACCAAGGTCTAGACCAAATCCATCCATATTCATTGGTAAACTAAATAATTTTCAAAAAAACTTGTCCATTTAATTTCAATAAAATAAAATATGGTATATTGGGTGCAGCAGGTCTAGCTAATTGCACAAACTTTTGACATATAGTCGAGAACCTACATATCTTCAAACAATTTTATAAATATACCCGACATACGTTGTCCTGCATAATATTTCATTATGATATTAAACAAAGTATGGAATGAAAGACAAATAATATAACAATTTCATTATTTTTCATTTTGGAATAACATAAATTTTTCTAAAAAAAAATCGTTATAATCATAATATTTGTTTAATTTTATCTTAGTGCGAGTTGACCATTATTTTTATTAAATTTCTGGGAAGTATAAATGAATGAACTAGATATCCTTGTAACTTCTTAATAGTCATGGCAAATGCTAAGCGAATTGTAAATTGCAGACATCTGAATGGAATGGGTGAGTCTGAAAGGATCATTGGCATAATTTTTTTATGACTAATCTTGTACCGTTGCATATCTTAGGTGCATTTAAATTCCGTAGCAAAATGATAGGTGAGCCAATTTTTAATCCCAAGTTATGTGTTGGCATTCATGGTAAGTCAAGCGAATTCAAAAATTCAATAGGATAGCCACGCATGATTAATATAGCAATTATCTTGTAAATCTGGAAAAATGCTCTCAATCAAAGAACTTTTCATATTCACCATGTTGCGGAAATTGTCTGGAAATTTGATGCATTGTGTGTCTCCCAGCAATGGTATTGTTCCAATTTTGCGCAGCCGGTCAGAGAATGATAATGCCAATGGATCGTATGTTTGTGTTAAGATATTATATACTGACTATACAGAATGCATTTGATCGAAGGCGTTCGTTGCTTTGCTCTTGACTTTCATTAGCACGTGTGATTGTAGCCTGGTTTCTTAAATTTTCATTATCCGTGAATCGATCTTTTGCCGAAGCATTTATCCTACGGTTCTGGACTAATTGTGAATTCCGAGTCAGCCTGCCAATATTTGGTCCTCGTCCACGAAGACGTGTCATTATTTTCTGTATGTAACTTGAATGTGAGTATAATACACATACTTGTAATATTAACATAAATGCGATACCTGAAATATAATATTATATCAAAAGACACACTTTATAAAACACAATCAAATTAAAATGTCGAAAAATTAACGAAGTCCTAAATTGCTAAAAATTTACGAATACATACATATAGTATTAGGTCCAGTAAAAAGTTTATTGATTTTTCAAAAGATGATAACTTTGTGTGCATTTGTCCGATTTAAGTCAAATATGCGCCGCTTTGTTCGTAAACCTGTTGCCAACGAGATGACAACTTTATTATACCCCTCTCGTAGAAGGCTGCGTCCCTATTGGAAAAAAACTCGGAGAGCCAATTTTCACAGGCCTATCTTGAGGCCAACTTTTCACCATTAAGCGCGTTCGCCATGGACAAGAAAATATGGTAATCACTTGGTGTCAGGTCCGGACTATAAGATAGGTGCATTAGAACCTCCCATCCGAGCTCCCGGAGCTTCTGGCACGGCACCAAAGACGTGTGTGGCCTGGCGTTGTCCTGATGGAACACAATTCGGCCTCTGTTGATCAAAGATGGCCTCTTCTGGATGAGTGCTGCCTTCAAGCGGTCCAGTTGTTGGCAGTAGAGGGCCGAATTGAGCGTTTGACCATAGGGGAGCAGCTCGTAGTAGATGATTCCTTGCCAATCCCACCAAACACACAGCAAAACCTAACTGGCCGTCAATCCGGTTTTGGCCACCGTCTGGGCCACTTCCCCGAGCTTTGACCACAACGGTTTGCGCTCGATGTTGTCGTAAGTGACCCATTTTTCATCGCCAGTCACAATCCACTCCAGAAACGGGTCGATTTTGGTACGATTCAGCAGCGATTCGCAGATGGAAATTCGGTCCATCATGTTTTTTTGCGTTAGTTCCTGTGGAACCCAAACGTCGAGCTTCTTTTTGAATCCAAAGCTATGAAAATGCTTCAGACCGGTTTTCTGGATTATCTTTAGTTCGTCAGAAATTAAATAAGTGGTCACGTGACGACAGGCCTCTCGACGCGTGGTGCATCTTTGACATCGAAATTACCGGAACGGAACCTAGCAAACCACTTTTGTGCTACACGTTCGTTTACAGTATCGGGCCCATAAACTAAATTAATTTTTTAGCCGCATTGGCTGCTTTTTCGCCTTGATCGAAGAAAAAATTTTAAAATATAGCGAATTTTCTCTTTGCTGGTGTCCATCTTTGACGAGCGCTCACAACGTACTGAGTCTATCAATCGAAAAACTGTCAAAGACAAACTTTTAGCGCGAATAAACACGTTTTCAGCGCCGTATAGTATGACATGATATATGACAATAACACCATCTCTTGGATAAAAACCGAAAGAACTTTTTACTTGACCTAATATTATATCAAAACATAGCGATGCAAATAATCCTGTGGTGTTATAAAAAATGTCTTACCGGTTTCACATGGATTGAGTCGATGTGAAAACGTCAATAGGGTCAAAATTCTTAATACTCTGGACATGACGTTTAGACGAAGGTCTAGATATGGATGATCATATTTTTTCCGGAAAAGTCCGGGACGGTTTTTTAGTCATCGATTTTTTCCATATTATAATTCACTGAAAATTGCGACATATAATAGATGAGGGAGCAACACAATTTTATTCAAAAAGAATGGAAATGATAAAAGAGAAAGCAAAGTAATTATAAAAATTATTAAAAGGTCTGGTTCGATCGTTTGTATATCAGTTGATGAAGTGGACGGTGTTCCCGGAATTGTTGAAGACGCCTTCGGTCTGATGTATTTCTCTGGTTGACTGCTTTTTCGAGGAAGCTCGGGGTGCGATTTTAAGTATGTGAGAAATTCCAAACAAGAAAATTTTAAATTATTCTCCACAAATAAAATCGATTTCACGGTGCTGACTTGTAGGCGAGTTTTTTCGTATGTCCACATTCAGTTAATGGTGGAAAATATGCGTTCCACTGGTGCCGATGTTTCTTGTGGTATGTTTTGCTTCAACAGAAAAGTAAAACATTGAATGCAACGTTTGTCAACGGATGTCTGCTCTTTGCTCCATTCATGCGAAATATTGTATAAGTGTATAGTTCGAAGTGATTATGTGAAGTAGCATCTGATGCTTTCAAAATTTTCAAAATATTATTTTCTGTGAAGAAAATAAACGTTTTCTCAATTTTTTCCCAGTCGAGGCTATCAGTGAGTAGCACCCAACCAAATATTTTTACATAAGCAAACTGTTAAGTACATCCCTCGAGATATTCGTAACAATCACCTGTTTGACATATTGAAGACAATAAAAAATGAGAAAACGAAAATTGAGGTGTGAAATGACATATTTACTTGGAAAATGTTTCGAATCTACTTCAAATTTTTTTTCTTCAGTTTCTCTATTTCCGCTCTTACTTGCAACGGAAAGAAATTGTGTTAGTTGGATGTTTGCAAAATGTTGCAAGTTTTTGTAAAATGCAATTGCTGGAATATCATCGCCTTCAATTTTCTTTATTTTTTCTACGGAAATCATGGCCTAAAACTAAGGAGATAATAATTAAATAATTTGTCGATTTTAGAAAAACTCCAGTTAATAAAAATAGATTTTCACCTATTCATGAACAAAAATGAACCAGAGCATTGATAGTGGATTACTGAAAAAATGGCGGATACATATGGCTCTCAAGCCAATGAACCAAGTTTTGCAGTAACCAACCAGTTGATCGTATTCTGTGTGAATGTAAAAATGTGTGTAGATCTGAACAACAATGATCTTTACTTTAACATCAAGTGCATTACATGCGTAACGAATCGCATTATGTACGATATGTGCTGCACAACCAACTATGGTCGATTTTAATTTAATTAATTTTGCCAAAACATTTCCTTCACTTTTCCGATCAACTCGACCGAAATTAATTGGCGCATTGTCACCATAGCAAGCTATCAATTTATCAGTCAAATCAAAATTTTCCAAAACTTTTTTAATCAATGAAAAAATCGTATCGTTTTACCTTTTTTTTTGTGTTAAATTATTATATTTTAACATTCACTCCAGATAATGGAAGAAAATAACGATTGACGACAGGAAACCTCTTGATTGCTTTGCGACTGGAATCGTCGGTCGACAAACAAATGAATTGGGCTTTCTGTAAATCAGACGTGAGGCATTCCAATGCGTGTCCATGCAAAAAAATTGGTTATCGCTTCACTTTTTGTTCCAGAACACGAACATTTTTTCATTTGGAAACTGGTTCGAAATATTTTAGTTGCGCAGCCGTTTGATCTACACTAAAAAATTTCAAAAAAAATTTAATGGGACACTAAATGCAGTTTTTTAAATTATTTTTTTATTTAACAAAACTTAAACTGTGATTCTCATCAATTGTGTGGTACACCCACACGTCTTCCATCGTCGATAGATTCAAATTTGGTTTCTCTCCGATGAAAAAATTTTATATGATTAAAGTTTGAAGTGAAGCATTTTCTGCCACTTAGGTTCTTTGTCTTTAAATGATATTCAATATCGTTACCTCCACCAACAGCAACCGAAAAAGTTCCATTACATTTGGCGCAACGAACGTTGGAATCGTCATAAGTGACTCTCAAAAAAGAATCTTTTTTCTTCAAATTATCGTTGAAAACACACTTGCGTTTCGTTATGTTAGTAACTCACTTTACCGACGCCTTTTAACAACCGATCTGAGTATTAAAAAGCTTGTTTATTTTATTTAAAGATTATTTTTAGAAAAAAATTTTTTCTTCAAATATTAATAGGTGAAAATTTAAAAAAAAACATAACAACGTAGAATCGTGAGTGACATATGAAACCTATTTGGGACCCCGCAGGTAGTCGGCCGGATTTTATTGTTCGGAGCCGAGCAGATGCCGTTCGAGAGAGAAAGAAAAACTCAAGGTTATTTCTTTGTTTTCTATCGCGTACTAGATTCGAGCATTTTTTAGTATGTAACAGATTTTTGGTGGGATCAGACGTGTTTCATTTGGTGTTCTCTTGACAGTGAAAAATAAAGCTATGGAACAATTATCGAGAGCTGCCTATGCTCGGTAAGTAAACGTTATATATATTTAACACTTGTAAATATTATATTTTAATTACAATTTTGTGTAATATAATATAATTATAATTATTTACGACGGATATCACATAATATTTAATTTATTAGGTTAAGTGCAACCGAAAGCAATGAGCAAGTAATTCGAATACAGATCATACATTTGGCATGTGGCAATCCAATTCTTATCCGCTGTATCGCGCGACGATGGGATTGACGAGATTCCATAATATTTTGCGTTTTTTGCGATTCGACGATGGTAATACTCGAAGTGAACGTAAAAGAGAAGACAAGGCAGCTCCAATTCGTGATGTGTGGACAATGTAGAATTGAAATTTAGCTCAGATGTACAAACCAACAGCTAACTTGACGATTGATGAACCGCTCTATCCATACCGTGGCCGTACTGGATTTACTCAATATATTCTATTGAAACCAGATAAGTATGGTATAAAGATCTGGTGGATTTGTGATGCAGAAAACGCATATCCTTTGCAAGGGATTATGTACATTGGTAAAACAGATAATACTCGAGAAAAAAACAGGGTGAAAGAATTGGCGGCTCCGTACCAAGGTAGTGGTAGAAACATCTGCATGGATAACTTCTTTACTACTGTACCAGTTGCTAAACATTTAATGTCGTGGAATATTACCACTGTTGGCACGCTAAAAAAGAATAAATATTACATCCCTAGTGTTATGGGGGCGAATAAGACACAGGAGCAGTATTCGACAGCTTTTGGATTTCACGAAAAGGTTACCATGTGTTCCTACGTTCCTAAAAAAATTAAGCTGTCATTCTGATATCTACAATGCATTCAGATATATCAGTTGGTGATGACGCTAAACGAAAACCAGAAATAATAAATTTTTATAACAAATATGAAGCTGGAGTTGACACACTGGACCAAATAGTGCGGAGATACACCAGTCAACGACGATCTTCGAGATGGCCAATGGCAATGTTCTTCAACATGCTAGATGTTTCTTTACTTGCGGCATATATAATTTATTATGAAAATAATAAAATGATTGTCAAAAACAAACGACAGAACGTCGTCAATTTATGCGTAAACTAAGTGAAGAACTAGCATTGCCGATGATTGAACATCGCACGGCGAATCCACAAGTAATGCGGCACTTCTCAACAAAGATTGCCATTGAAAGTGTATTAGGCCATATACTGACAGAAATAGTTGTGATAAATCCTGATCCAGAGACTCCAAAAGATAAAACCGGAAGGAAAAAAGTAACAGGATGTTGTCATGTCTGCAATGCTTTGCCAATAAGAAGACGACGAAAGACACGTAAGGCCTGTGCCAATTGTCACCAACCTGTATGTGACGAGCACTCAGTTAATCGTGTACAATGTGTTCAATGTCATTAATTATAAAAAAAAGTGTAATATTTTTATATTTTTTTAATAAAATTTAGTTGCATGCATTAATAGAAATTATATAAAACTTTTTTCCTACGCTTTCCACTGTGGTACCCGGTTGCTAATAGACGTCGAAAACGACGATTTGAGAGCTTAAAATGAAATATTAAATTTTTTCTAAGCTATTCACACAAATACACCGCGGTGGGTACCCGGTTACTAACATAAGGATTAAATTCACAAAATTATCTTATGTTTCACTTTGAATGTTGATTGGAAGTAATAAGCTGTCAGTGAACAAACCTGATGTTCGCTCCAAAATCTACTACAGAATTCAATACTTTCAAACCGAATGTAAAATTTAGAAATATAACATACATTGTTGTATTTTTGTTCCGTTTATTGAGAATTTTTCTTTCTTTTTTTAATTTCTAAGCCCGGGACGGCCGGGACGCTTAACTCGGAATCTGAGACAGTTCCGAGCAAGCCGAGACGAATGGTCAGCTAAGTCTAGACCAATTCCATTCATATTCAGTGATAAGCAAAATATTTTTTAAAGAAACTTGTCCATTCCATTTCATTAAAATAACATACATTTTAACCAACCTAAACGGTTTAAAGACAGGTGGGAAGTTGGAAATCACTATATAGGGTATATTAGGTGCAGAAAAGGTCTGGCTGATTGCACAAACTTTTGACATTACTCAGGTGTACTCGGATGCTTGGAATACCGAAAAGAGGGTATGGATAGTGCGGCGGTATCATGCTTTGCAGTCCATCACTTCCCTCCAAAAGGAGTTCAGACGGTATTTTGGCGGCACTCCCCGAGTAGATGGACCATTATCAAGTTGGTAAAAATGTTTTCCGAATCTGGAAGTATCCCAAGAAGACCATACCATCGAGATCCGTATGTTTGTTTTCAAGAAACACTCGCAGCTGTTGCATCGTCAATTCAGGCAAATCCAAAAGTTTCGACTCGCAGCTTTGTCGTATATGGAGTAAATCATAATAATCCAAAAATAAAACACAAGACGGAACTTCACCCAGAACGGATCACTGTGTGGTGCGTTGTTTCATCAAGGTGTATTAACAGGCTGTACTTCTTTAAAGAAAACGGTGTAACAGTGACTGTCAATGAGAATTTTTATATAAAGATGTTGAATGAGTTTTTTTACCCAGAACTGCGCCGAAGACATATCCCTTTCAATGGCGTTGGGTTCCTGCAAGATGGAGCAACTACACACATAGCCAGACCGGTTATTGCGAAGCTCCAACGAAATTTTCATACAAATAAATATCAAACAACTCTACTTTCCACTGGCCTTCAAGGTCACCTGACCTGACTGCACCAGACTTTTTGTTATGGCATTATGTCAATAAGAAGTGTACAAAACAAAACCCAGAAATCTGACTAAGACAGTTCATTGAATCGATAATTGAGACAATACCGACTTCAACCTTTCAGGCCGCAATTAATAATTTTCTAATTAGGTGTCGCATATGCGTGGCTGAGCATGGAGGTCATTTGCTGTCCACAATTTTTTAAAATAATTAATTATAAAAAATAAAACAAATGTTCCATACAATAAAAAAAAATGTTAGGCATTGTTTAAAAAAAAGTGATTACGGTTTGTCTTTGTAGCACGATAACTCATACACTGAACGACATATTCGTCATAAGGCTTGTTAGAAAAACGAAAAAAATTAAATTTGGGAGTTGGGGTAGTTCCTATATATGGTAAAATGCCAACCGGATGACCGGTATTGGTCCGATTTTATTTATTTTTCGCAATACCACATTCTATTAACATGCCACATACTAATAATATGCTCCCTGAGTTTCATTAAGGTACACTTACCATCACCAATACTTGTATATATGGAGTAAAGTCAGTCAGAGAGATTTTCGAATATCGTGATATAAGTTATATCGGGACTAGAACAAGCTTTTACTCGATTTTATCCATTTTAACCACAGAGATGCACCATTAGAAGAAAAACACGCTCATTCAATTTAATTAAGGTAACTAACATATTAGCCGGCATATGCGGAATAAAGTAAATCACAAGTTCGAAAATCTTTGTATTAGGTATATGGCCGCTGAGAGAAGCCTTCATCAGATTCAACATGGAAATTAATTGAATCAGATGGAATATAAAATTGTGTTATATAGATATCGAGAGTGGGCGGTGTTAACATTCGATTTAATCCATTTTTACAGCGTCAGTAGCGTTGCTTAAGGGATTTGTACTGAGCGATTTTATTAATTGATCTTAAGGTATGTACATTAAACCTCTTAGAGAGCGGGATCACGGCCATTTTTTAGCCCACAGGTGTTCCTCGCTACTTCGATCCCCTGTGCCAAATTACAGATTTATATCTTAATTGAGTGCTTAGTTATGGCACTTTATACGATTTTCGTTTATTTATTGTATTATTGTGATAAAGTGTGGTATGCTATGGCAATTTTGTCACTGTACAATGGCGCTAAAATTGGCTGGAAGCTTGGGTATTTCGTATTTGGTTGCAGTTAGTATATGAAATCTAACTTCTATTCTGAAATCTAACTCATAGTATACATATTTTATTATTATTAAATACTTACATTAAAATGAAATCATCACTGATATTTTTAATATTACCGTCAAAGTCGGTACATTTCATTGTGGCGAGTAATTTTCGAAAATTAGTAAATTAGTGCGATTGAATTTAATTAAGTAACCACATTTCCGAACAAACGATGCTCTTTCAATATAGTCTATGGCTGTGAATGACGATGACATTCGTTTCGCGCGTTTTTTAAAATATGCAAAATTAAATGTATTTTTTCAAGCTTTCTGGGACATTTTCTTGATATTTTTTTCCACAAGAACCTTCAACAGAGTATTAGAAAACTACAAAAAAAAAAAAAACAGCCAAATCGGTCTAGCCGTTCTCAAAATATGCCGTGACAACGGGAAACTGGTTTCATTTTTATATATATAGGTAGATTATTAATGAATTCAGTTTTTAAGCTGATGTGCTTTAAATGCGTTTTTTCAGTTTATTAATCTGTATTAATTTTTCACTTTTTGTTTAATGTGCTTTAAAAGCATTTTTTTTAGAATAGAAACATGTTTTAACAAGTAAGAAGGGCTAAGTTCGGATGTAACCGAACATTTTGTACTCTCGCAAAGTCAAATGGCTGGCTGTGAATGACGATGACATTCGTTTCGCGCGTTTTTTAAAATATGCAAAATTAAATGTATTTTTTTAAGCTTTCTGAGACATTTTCTTGATATTTTTTTCCACAAGAACCTTCAACAGAGTATTAGAAAACTACAAAAAAAAAAAACAGCCAAATCGGTCTAGCCGTTCTCAAAATATGCCGTGACAACGGGAAACTGGTTTCATTTTTATATATATAGGTAGATTATTAATGAATTCAGTTTTTAAGCTGATGTGCTTTAAATGCGTTTTTTCAGTTTATTAAGCTGTATTAATTTTTCACTTTTTGTTTAATGTGCTTTAAAAGCCTTTATTTTAGAATAGAAACATGTTTTAACAAGTAAGGAAGGGTTAAGTTCGGATGTAACCGAACATTTTATACTCTCGCAAAGTCAAATGGTATACTCGTTTGAGATTTCTTTGTGGATTGACTGATATTTTCGGTAGAAGGTCAACTATAGGCACTGGGGTCCACATATTTAGTACTTAGGGGCTTGAACAGTTTTGGTTCGATTTAGACAATTTTTGGTCACAAGGTGGCATACTTTAATCGTATTATTCACGCAAAGTTTTACCCCGATATAATAATTTTTGCTTGATATGCATAGTGGAAACTGAAAGAAACAGATGAAATTGAAAAAGGTGTTATATGTGAAATAGGCGTGGTTGTAGTCCGATTTCGCCCAATTTCGCACTATAAAATAGAAATATGAAAAGAACGTAATGTACCGAATTTTGTTGTAATCGGTTTAGAATATCCCAAAATAGGTTTTCACCTAAAAGTGAGCAATGCCTCGCCCACTGTCACGGTAAAATTTAATGTATCTGGCGTGTTTAGTGCTTGGTTTATCCCGCTTTTAGTATTTTTTAACAGTACCGTTATATGGGGTGTGGGCGGGCTTGTCACCCGATTTCACCCATTTTCACACCGTCAATAGAGGTGCTAAAAACATTTTCTCCCGGTGAATTTGGTTATTATAGCTTTAGCGGTTGGACATTAAACTTATTAGGGGCGGGACCACGCCCACTTTTGAAAAAAATTTTAACTGCAGATGCCACTCCTTAATGTGATCCTTTGTACCAAATAACAGTCTTGTATCTTATTGCGGAGCTTAGTTATGGCAATTTATTTGTTTTTGATTAATGGCGTTTTGTGGGCGTGGCAGTGGTCCGATTACGGCCCATCTGCAATACCAACCGTCTTACGGTACCAAGAAACATGTGTACCAAGTTTCATGAAGATATCTCAATTTTTACTCAAGTTACAGCTTGCACGGACGGACGGACAGACAGTCACCCGGATTTCTACTCGTCTCTTCATCCTGATCATTTATACATATACAACCCTATATCTAACTCGATTAGTTTTAGGAGATACCAACAACCGTTAGGTGAACAAAACTATCATACTCTGTAGCAACAAGTTGAGAGAGTATAAAAATTATTAATGAAATAATTTTTTAGTCTGATGTGCTTTAAAAGCGTATTTTTTAGTTTATTAAACTCTACTTATTTTGCACTTTTTATTGTAGTTCAATATGCCTTAAAAGCACGTTTTTTATACCATACCTATTTTTTAGCCACACGTGGTGTTTTCATTTTCTTGAAGGATGTGTTTGAGTAAATTTGAAATTCAAATGACAACATGTATAGTTGAGGCTGCTGCATAGTTTTAGGCGCAATTTTTGGTTTTTGCAGTGCTTATCAAACTTTTTATTATTTTGCCACACAGTGCCATATACATACATACATTCATATATATTCCATACATACGTCCAATAATGCAGGCGAAGCTACTAAAAGCGTTATAAAA